AGTTCATATTAAGGCTGGCAAACTATATGATTTGTGTGATGCAAGAGCTAGGACTCAAGTATTCACATCAACACACACTTTGTGCATTCCAAGATGTCTGAAAGTCACTTTTAGCAATCAAGAGCAGCACAGTATATATACGAGCACCTTCACACATCACTCAGATTCCTACTTGACTGAACCAGTGATCTCATCACAGCATGAAAACTTCCTGATATGGGGTCTGAAAACTTATACCAAGCTTCTGAGTGAAATCAACTAATCTACTGAGAGATCAAGACAACCTTGAATTCTCAAACATTCTTTGAAAAGGAAAAAAAATAAACTCTCAACAAATTTTAGATGCAGTCAGTTTATAGTCTATGGTGTAACAAGTAGCGTTCATCTTTACCAGTAGGAATACCCTTCAAGTTTCTTAACTAAATTTTTAAAAAGAAAGCCTAGAAAACAGGGAACAAATCTAAAGTACTGAAGAGCTAACCATTCAGCAAGTAAAATGGGAAAACTAAATTTATCAAGTAGTCTTTGCCTTCTAAAATGTAGCAACATGGAGGATTTTTTAATTGCAAAATTTAAGGAGTTAAAAACTTAAAGATAAGTAATAGATTCTTGTCCCAAGGGAAGGAAAAAAAACAAAACCAAAATCAAAACCAAACAACAAACACGTAACTTTCAACATTTATACTTGGTTGACCTATTTCTGGGGAAATGTTTAATCAGAGAGACAGAAGACCAAATTCTGTCAGTGGAAAGAAGGACATAAAATAAATTACAGAATTTTTAAAATAAAAGTTACTGTAGTCCAGGTCACATGGGAAGCTCAGATATTTATGCAAAAAAATCAGATAAAACAACAGAGCTTCATGCCAGATCCTGCAACAAGTTAAAGATTCTGCCAAAACTTTATCAGAAAAATCATTCATCCGCCCTGCTTCTACTATTGCATGAATGCAGCTAAGTCACATTTGAGCCGGCCAAGTTAACACTGCTTTTTATTCACTGTTGCACCAGCATGAATGAGTTTGAGTTCAAGTATGCAAGCAGTTTGATGGACCAACGAAGAGTAGTCTTGCTAAAGCTTCCAGATTATCAAGAATTTTCTGAATTTCAATGCCAGTTTAATTTTCTAAATGCATATATTCTTGCCTACACTTGTACAAACTTCCATACAGATTTTGTCAAGTGGATGTTCTTCCCAATTTTTTAACTAGTACATAGTAAATAGTTTTCTAAAGCCCTCACTAGAGAAGCTGTTCATCAAATCATCTGGCTGTCCTACTCCATATAGCTATAATATGGATCTTCTAACCAGATATTTATGTAGGTAGCTTTAAGTTTCTTGCTACTTCAATAACTCAAAAATCTCAGCTGAAGAAAAATACCTTGAAAAAAGGCATTTTTGTCAATAATTAAGTTGGTTTTGCTCAAATTTCATTGTCCAAGGATAATTTAGTTATTACTTCCTGCTAGCTGAAATGCACCAGAAGGAAGCTAAAGCACAGGTATCACTTTCTTAGTCCTTTTCAAAATAAGTGATTGTTGGAACTGCTGCAAATACACTGTGTGATTGATAAGACCACAATATTGGATTATAAAACAGAAGGCAAAGCATGTAAACAGTATGTAAAGGCTTAATACTTTTGTTTAGATTAAGAAGCAATAGAACTGAGAAAATATGCCTAACCTGTTCCAGGTGAAACAGTACATTAGCTATATCAAGGACTCTTTCCACAGTCTTCTCTGGATCTGAGGAATCTTCAGTCCTGTTTGGTAAATCTTTGTAAAGTGCCATCTGCCATCTAATGGCAGGATCCTCAAGCTGCAGGAAAAAGATTTCTCATGTCACCAAGGAAAAATGTTCCAAACACAGGATCAAACAGCTTAATTAGTACAGAAACTGCTTCGAAGGATAACAGAAGCACTTTATATGGCTAGCCCACATCTTTACATTGCTAACCCATAGAGTGTCCACTACACTGACTGGGAGAACAAAAGACTGATTTGTGTGATGTTTTTTGAGAGCTTCCAGAGGACCAAAAGTCTAATAATCATACAAAGATCAAATAATTATGGGCCAACAAATATCACTGGCACCAGCAATTAATACATTATTTGAGGAAAACTAATGAATATGAGGTAGACAGACATAACTGTACACTGACTTTGTAGTTACTAAACCAAACAACAATGAAATTGTTGCTCTATTAGTTGGGATTACTTAGTTTTCAGTCATGGAAATTATTCATATTAGTCTTATTATGGCTAATTGGTTTCATTTTAGTTATTTTGAATTGGTAGAAAATCCTAGTTTTACTGATTGCTAGCTAAAAAATGAAAAGTTAATTTATGAAAAATGAATTCAAGATGCAAATGCTTATTAGCCTACAAATTATAAAGAACTGTATGAAGCAAAATGATTTTGTTTATTTTTCTATTTCCATTTCATTTTTTAATTTCAGTTATCTGTGATTCACTGTTTTACTAGTAGCAATCTTTCTTGGTTCATTTTGTCTCCCTGATGCTTCTGCTAATCTACACTGATGCAAAACACTTTGCAACCATTTTTTGTGCCAATTACACTTAAGACAAATGCAATGTGTAATTCACTTTACTGAGAGCTGCAGCCAGTGATCATTCTGATTGTTCAATTTAGGTTTAAGTCACACTGGCCTGGATTCACAGAGCATTTAGGAGCTTAAACCCTACAGATTCAAATATCGCTTTAACTCAGCACTTACTTTTCTAAAACATCTTTGTGGATTCAGATTTCAATTTGTGCCTAAGATGAGACAATAATGCAAATTCACCTCCACAAGACACCTTATGATGCACAGTTTACTGAAGTTCCAGGAATGAATAGAAACTTACACAGTCACTCAATAATAGCTTATTACAACCTAGAAAGCCACAATTGGCAGGCATTTCTTCCACCTTTCGGTTTTTCCGTTTCTTAACAACTGTCACATCCACAGTCTTTGTGTGAGCATTTGACTGGATCATCATGGATGTATAGTCCACAAAAGACTTTCTAATCACAGGTGGAGATGTCTTTTGATCTGAGGACTCCTCACATTCTATCAAGGTACAGCTTTTTTGTATAGGTAGTTTTCTAATGGTATGAGTAGTTGACATTTGAAGGTGTGAATTAGCATGGCTGGAAGAAGATTTTGGTGACTTGAGCTTCATCCATGTCAAAATGAATGCAAGTTTCATCATCAATTTCTTGAAATAAAAGGCTCGGTACTGAGTAACAACATGCAGGCATGCAAGGAAAGGAAAGACAGAAACAGGGTGAAGACAAACGTAGACAAAGGTAGACAAATGCATGAAATAGATGCCACAACATTAATAGCTAAAGATTCAGAAGGATGATTCTCAAATAGTGCAGTTTTTCCAAAAAGAAATAGAGATTAATTACATTTTAGCTCTAGCATAAATGACAGAACATGGTGTCCTTGAGAAGCAAAAGTGGTTAACAGAAAATGTCATTTGAAGAAAGAATATTGCTATGGTTGGAATAAAACCAGCCTTTCCAAAAAGTGGTATTTTTCTTTTGTTTTGAAAGCCACTTTACACAAACACCATTATAATGAAGTTACAAGTTAATTCATAACATTAAATAACAATTTAGATTGATAAGATAATTTGTCCTACATTCCTTCTATGTCTGACTCAACCACACAAGAAAAGGGTAGAGTATGCATGTAGCACAACGGTATAATTTTTCTTCACAAGAAACATCATACGTGACTGTATCTGGTGTGTACTTGATTCAGTTGTGATAGTGGTTGAACACTAATGGCATCAGAGAATTACGGGATAAATTATATTGTATTTTGTAAATAACTACTGAATTTAACTTTATACTTTATACTTGTAAATAAGTTATGCCCTAAGGTTTAAGGTGAACTCTAGAATGTGTCAGTGCTAAATAATTCATTAAAAGGTGTATTTCAAGCCACTGAGAACAAAGTACTTAGCAATAGATAATAAATCATAATAAAGATAATAAATACAATTTCAAAAAATGAAGTTTTGAAGTCCTAGAAATGCTGTATTTAGTCTGTAGTTGAGTTGAGCACTTTTCACATACAGGTCAAAACCAGAGCTTTTCAGAGCTAGTAAAGCAATATGTAGATAGCTATAAAATAAAGCTAGCTAAAATAGCTACTTAGCTTTGTTAGCTACATATTACGTGGTCCCTTTCAGAATGTCATTTTCCATTGGGAATTCATTTTACAATTACAAAAATCCAAAGTCACTGCTGAAAAGCATACAAGTGGAAAATCTGTCAATGTGTACTTGGGATTAGCTAAGATTACTTCCTTCTTAATTATCAAAGCACCATGAAACTTCATCAGTATAAGAAACTTAAAAGTACTTTTATTCTCATGCATTATAAATAGAGGAGGCGATACATTGCAGAACAATAGCAAACTTAATTGAAGCAAAGGAAGTTTCTAAAGAGAAAGAACAGATTAAGGTATTAAGAAGTACCATTACTCCAAGGTAATAAAGCAGTGACATACAGAAATTTATTAATAGCAGTATGTAGAATGCAACTCTAAAGAAACAAAATAGAAACTGAAGTATTTAAAACAGGAGGACAAGTGCTAAGAAGCAGCATGAAATGCCAGGCAAGACTTACAACTGTGTGGCTCACAAAATGACAATACACACACACTGTAAATGTCAGAACAGAAATACCTATCTTCATCATCAAGAAAACACTACTGAAGTTTGCACACAGAATGACAACACATTTAAGGTTTGTATTTTCATGGCATGGACAGTGCTTAAGTACTGTTGCTCATTAAGATCTTCATAAAAGCTCTTTTCTTCCTTGTACTTTGGCTGTGTGGTTTCTTATGCTTCTCAGTATACAACAATATTTGCTATCTAAAGGTAAGTACTTCAAGCTTTTTTTAGGATTTAACCAAAGCTTTTGTTTTCAGTGGTAAACTTTTCTATGTGCAATCTATAATTTAAAGCTATTGTACTTCTATTTGTAATATTTTATGAAAAACGCTAATTGTTAGCTTTGCAAAATGATATATCTTCTTGTGAGCTTCCAGAAACCCCAACCTCCAAATAATCTTGCTTGAAATTGCAGCAATATAGAGAAAATGTAAGATGGGAGAAAAAGAACCCCCTCATTACCAAGTGATTAATTCCTCCTGTCCCCCCAGAAAAACCCAACAAAAAACCCACACAGAAACAAACAAACAAAAAAACCCCCAAACCCCCCACATTTACTGCCATGCACGAAGTTGCAGTGGAATCTAGACTTCTGGATAATTCTTAAATACCCTTTCAGAAAATAAAGCCAGACTTGCAACTTGCATGTTTATTCTCTTGGAACCATTTAACAAGCACATGAAATAATAGTGAGTTTTTTTTCCTTGAGGTGAATAAAACCTGGGGCGAGGGGAGGAGGTAAAGGACAATCTTAAATAAAGCACCATCCATAGGTTCGATTCCATCTTCCTTCAATAGAGAAGGAACGTACGTAATTTTATTACACTTTCAAATTATGGCTTCTTTGCCACTATTACAAAATTATTAATGTACTTATTAATAAAACAGTTCAACTGCACTGAGCCAGTTCAGGACCTTTTCCCTAAGGCTATTCATCTGTCACTAATTGGAATTCAATAACAAAAATCTATGCGTTGTACAAAATACGTTATTTTCTCTGGGATGAAAACAGGAACAAACCTGAGCAAAGTGGAGATTTTTCACTTCACAGAGCATGCCAAAGTGGCAGCTTCCTTTTCCTTTACACTTCAAACTGATAAAAAATAACTTTGAGCTTTTTGTGGATTCTGTCCTGAGTAATAGAAGACAGAATTTAAATAGTGATAGATCTTGCTTCCATCTCCGGTTTCATATTAATGGTGTGCATAGGCAGGGATTTGAAGGTCCACATTATTGTATATAATGCATATAAAAACACATTAAAAACCTAACATTTAAGAATTGACATGAACAAGTTACTTGACAGAAGAGAAAAAGTGACTGCAAGTTATCCTAACAAACCAAGAGAGATTGTCATTATATGGCACCAATAAATAAATTCAAAGGAAGGAAAATCGTGTATAAAACTGCACGTAAATTACCTTGCCCTGGAGATGAAGATTATTGCGGATGGTATCTCGTACTTCATCTTCTGTATCTTTCTGTCAGTAAATTACAAATCATATCAATTGGGAATAGAAGGTAATTAAGAAAATATATTGTTCATATAAATGTCAACCTTGAACTTGGTTCAGATGATGAATAAAACTGACAATGTGGAAGATTGAGGAAATCTCAGTGCTAATATGTCATTTTTTTATTAGGCCAGAGCCAGCCATTTCCAAGCTCAGAGGAGCAAGTTTTGGATGGCATCATTCATACTTGTCCACAATAACACACTAAATGGAAGTTTGAATTAAAATTACTAGTATATACATGCTTTAACCAAAGTTTGAACTAATGAAACCAATATCATGAGCACAGCCTTCTCTGATTTGATTTCTGTTTCTTTTGGAGATCTTTTATCGTTTATAAACATTCATTTTAGCTGTTCAAAGGTCATATAACCTGCTAGGGTGTATAAAGTATCATAGCTTGAGAAAGGAGTGTATTCGAAATTACAATCATATTATTGTAGAATCACTAGAAGAATCATTTTTAAAACAGTCTGTCCCTACAGAAATTCTTGCATTCCCACGAGAGTGATCAAAAGGAATTAGTTATGATATTGTGCATAGAAGTTAGGAAACATCCAGTTCTTATTTGCATTTCCAATTCAAGCTTCATAAAATATAACACAACTCAGCATTTCAAACAAAATTGAGAAATAACTGATTAAATTTAAGTAGGTCATCTCTATTCATATACTAATAGTTTAGAAAATAAGTATGTCCAAACTGAAGTGTTTTATGCCCTGAAAATGAGAACAATATGTAGATTACTATCTACCACAGTCATTCATTGTGCCTTTATATAACAAAATTATAGTCCTGATAATTTATGCTGTAAGAATGAGCATGAGGGAAAAAATTTCAAAGAATTTCATTAGTAAAATATTTCTACCTTTTAGAAGTGCAAAAAGAGCACCTACCATACTGAATCGATTTTTGGCCAGTGCAATTAGCTCTTGGTCTCCTGGAGCACAGATGTTTAGGCCAATTGGAAGTAATCTCTTCAATGCTGCCACAATGAGAGAGGTCTGCATAGAATACCTGTCACCTTTCCGTTTCATCTTCTTTCTCTCCTGGTCAGAAACTGCTGCCTGCAGCATAAAGCAAACATGAAAAATTCCAATATTAAATAAAAGACTTATACTGGCAACTTTGTACTTGTTTCTGATTCGACAATTTCCTTACTACCTATAGAGCTACAAACCTATCCAATGGAATTGCCATTATATCATTGCCAATATTTTGCACCAACATCTTGAAAGTCCACTGTGTTTCTCTAATGACTACATTCTCAACTCAGTGTTTTCAACAAAAACACCCACCACCACCACCAGTAAATTTTTCCTCTGGAGTTCTCCTTTCTCCTTCCCCTCTGCAAAGAGAAAAATATAAAAATCTTTATACTACCTTGGACATCTTAGATTTGGTGTCACTGATAAGGAAAGACATGTTGTTGATTTCATTTTGTACCACAAAGTTCTGCTCTTCCCTTTTGAAATTCTGGAAATACATAGAAGATCTAATTTAGACGCACTTATGATGAGGAATTCCATCTAAACAAATCTTAAATAAAAATATAAATTAATTGGAAATTTGTAAAATCCACAAGGTAAGACAAGGACAGAAAAAAATAATGGATGATCAATAATGGCCTTGAATTCCAGCTTTATTTACATGACATAGCTCAGGGGGTTGTGTGTTTTCAGGTTTTTCTCTATGTTAGAGAGAAAGAAATGTTTCTCTGGCTATGAAATAGCTATGATGACAATCTCACTCCTCCTCTAATTCAATATAAAATATTGTCTGGGTTTTCTCTTACTAGTAAATCATCCATTCAATTTTTTCCCCATTATAAATCCCACTATATTCAGATGCATAACAAACTTTAAATAAAAGACTGAACTTATGAATAAACAAGTAATTTGATGATCCAGTATCTATCTACTGTGCAACCACTTTGTGTGCACATCAATGTTTATAATAAATCTTACAGTTAAATTCAGGCATAAGTACACAGATAATAAGGCATCTTGTTTCCCAAACTTGAGAGAATTAAAGTTAGGGCAGAAAAGAAATTTAGTATAGACAACAGTTCATACAAAGATCCAATGCCTGAAAGTATTTAGTCTCTTTTGGTTTTGTTCTTCCTTTTGTTCCAGTATTCACATGAATCATGTTTTATTTTTATTTATGCACTATCAGTGATGGTGCCTGATTAGGTTTTAATGTAGACTCCTTGGTTCCTGCATATGAACCAGAAGAATCAGTCTTGAGAACCAAGGGTAAGTTTTGTAGACTTGGAATTAAGTGGTAAAATTTATGGAACAGCATCATCTAGGAAAAAATACTTTATTCAGAGAATTCCTTGTAAGATATACTTGTTACTTCCTTGCTATTAGAACACTTACTGACTTCCCTTCATTGAATCCAGCTACAGACCTAGGCTTAATAATTTAATTATATACCTATAACTTTTATTAAAGAAATAAAAATCTACACTGTAACACAAATTAAGTGTAAATATTAGAGCTACACATTTCCTTCAGGAAACCCTTGTTCCACTAGTTGTGTTGAAAACTTTTCCACATGATTTTATCTGCCAAGAGGCTCAAGCAGACGGACTGTGCAATTTAGGAAAATGGACTAGTAATTTAGTAGCCATACATCCTGGTTATAAAAAGGCTTTGGGGGTGAAAATAACTGATTTTTTTTTTTTTTTTTTTTTAAAGAGACACACCTCAATGAGATGATAGATAGATGCATAGATAGATAGATAGATATAAACAAAAAAACCCCACAAAAACCCACAACAAACAAATCACAATTTATATGAAAAACATCTACAGTCAGTGTTACTATGCCCCAAAATATCCATCAACTCCCCTAGCTACTCAGGCATTTCAAAAGTGTCAGAAAACTGAAAGTCAGTATCTTCCCATCTGCAATTTCACTTCTGTCATTAAATGTGTTTTCCCAAACACAACCACTAAATAATTGATCTGCCTACCAAGAAATCTAATCAAAACAAGTAATTACTGAGGAATTACTTACATGAGACTTTGACCAGTAAATGAAGACCTCAGCCACCATACGGAACAATTCTTCTGCTTCAGGGTTGGGCTCTTTCAGCCATTTTGCCCTAAAATTTGGTAAAGGGGTGGAAATGTGGATGATCCTCACTGGCTTTAACATTTCAAATTAGTTTTCAACATCTTACAAGGATACAAGTCAACAAACCCAAGCATGCTTGCTTTTAAACCTTTCTGGTAGCACTGGCTTTTTGATGTCTTAATTCAAAACCCTTCAAGTCCTTTTACATTAATCCTAGGTCTAATCCAACAGATTTGTATTGTACCCTTTCTTTCTGTTTTCCTCTGAAAAAGACCCCAGCTCCACTTAAAAGTCATAAAGCATCAGCTTGAGCAACTTCAAGTTTGGCAGGCTGAGTAAAAGCTTCTTTAATTCAGTGCTAGGCATATCAAGGGATAAGAGACAGTATCAATAAACAGGAAGATTTTATGAGATTCATTGACCTATTCCTCTCCACATACCTGTTATAGTCCACAAATCTAATCAACAAAGGGTAGAAGGCATAGAGGTCCCGTGCCAAAGTGGTGAACTCATCTAGGATGAGCAGTTCAGCCTCCGACATGTCACCTCTGCCTTCTGCTCTTAGATGTTCTTCATCCGATACAACCACTGCTGCTTTTTTCTTTAGCTTATCCATCAGTGGTAGGAAGTGTGTCTTTAAGAGCTGTGGCTTCGCTTTGCTTATGATGGGCTGGGAAAACACTATTTAAGGCAATGAATATTATAATATATACCTGGCCACAAAATATAAATAAAAATTTTCACCTTTCCCCTCTTTCTTGGATCTTATTTCTAGGTTACTGAGAAAAATCCTGCCCCCATTGAAATCAGCAGAAGTTTTGCCAAGAATTAAATGTGGTCAGGATTTCACACAGTCAATTCACTTTGTCACTATGAGGGCGGAAATTACAACTTCACAGCCTAAATTTCCAAGATCATAAAATTTGAAATGCCTCTTTACTGGCATTCTGTCAACATACTGGTATTTGCCTGAATAATTTTATTGAGTAATGTAGAAGTTGTTTAATGGTATTTATGGGTGGATACATTTATAGCTACATAGTATGTACAAGTTTTTTCAGCTGCTAGCTCTTCTTTTGAAACTTGCTTTTTAGCTTGAGTGAAGTAGAACTAGGAAGCATGCTCTAGGTATTTGCAAACCTATGGAAACATGTACTGTTTGTACTGTGTGTACTTCTTATGCACATTAGGACACTGGAAGGCTTGTGTGTAGACAGAAATTAGACTGACTCAACCATCCATCAAACAGCCATTTGAAACTTGTTAGCACAAGCTTTTTGCAAATCTTCTCATAAAAATGAATATGTAAATTAGCACTTCATCTGGGCCCATTAGTACAAAAATATTTGTAACATATCCATTAGATTACAAAAAATTGTAGGCAGTTACCAATTATCCTTAGAGTGCATTACATTACTGACCCTCAAAAGATTAGGAATCCAGACTGCTACCGTGAACGAAATTACTACTACCGTAAGTACTGAAAGTCATACAGAAGCCTAATCGAAAGACTGAATTCATAATACTGAAGTGACTTTTCCTTACAGATTGTAACATTGAGAAATAAAATGGTTTTAAATAAATTTTAAGGTGTTATCACAATGAAGTTAATCTAAGGATTACTAAAATGCACTATGCATTTGCACATTTCATTGTAATAGATAAGTTAGATAGAGAGCTTCAAAAAAATATTGTAAGGACCCAGCACCCATACAGAATAGCAAGGAACTGTGTAATGACTGCAAATGGAAACTTGCTATACGATGAAAATGGGCTAAATAACTATAGTCCTCTAATTCAATATACTGCAAAATGTGTATGTGCATATTCTGGTGAAAAATAAATAGTTTAATATACTTATTATATTACTTACTAAGAGATTAAAACATACTGCTTACACTGCTCATTCTTTATACTTAGTATTTCTAGTTCATCGAGATCTGTATTGTTTAAAAACATAAAATATGAATGTTGTTCTACTCCAGCTTTAACAGGGTAAATACAGAATAATTCAGTTTGTGTGTGTGTATATATATATATATGTATGTACATTCTGAATATACACATGCATGTTTGTTTGTTCATTCATTTATTTATTTATTTTTACATCTTACCTGCTAATCTCTTCATCCAGGCTCCTTCATCAATGCCAAGGTTGTTATAGATTATTTTCAAAATGTTACCCAGCAGAGTGTTCATGTGCTCCGACGTCAAGGCTGTGCAACACATTTCAGCCTTGTCAGGATTGTTTTCTGGCCCATGTTCCCACCAGTGTGACATGTAACTACATAGCATAGGCAGTATTACTTCCATGATATGTGGCATTTGTGTGTAACGAATACCAGACTCTGCTAGTTCCACAATTTCTTCCATCAGCTTCACCAAGGAAGGAATATTTGGGCAAACTTCTTCTACACTAGTAGGAAGATTGAGAACTATTGAAAAAGAAAATCCAAAAATCACTGAGGGAAAATAATTATTTTCAATTACTATTCTGTACAACTTTTGGTTCCTATTTACATTTATGCCATTCTGATCCAAGGAAAAATAATGAAGCAAAACAATAAAAAACAGGTATTCATACCATCGAACAATAATGGTTTATATATAGCCTTCAAAAGTAAAACGTTCTATGATAAAAATTATTCCTATATGGTAGCTTCAACAATGTAATTATTATGAAATTAATTCCAAGAAATCAGATGTAGTTTGCTATATTCAAAATAAAGCTTAAATTTCTCAATTTTTTCCAACATCAGCTTTGCAGTTGAGGAATCAAATTGATACAATGAAACATCTCCCCACAACACATCAGATGAGACCTGCAATACTACTAGAAGAAAAAAAAAAATCATTGCTTGTCGAGTAATAATGAGTCGAGAAAATTCTTAGAAACTGACTTCTGAAGGTAAATTTCTAATTGTAAAAGTTTAACTTTCAAGTTATTTGAATTGTCAGTTCCTTCCTCTGAAAAGGCACTGCAGTTGCCTTTACTTTTGGAGGCAGTTTCTTTCACCTACAAATAAATATCTGTAAGCACGATTAGCTCTTGAATGTCTAACATCCTGATGCACACATACATTGATACATACAGATGTGTATATATTAAAAATTCAGCCTGCAATTTGTGAATCCAAAAGTTGGTACCAAAACCAATGATTTTCCAAAACCAGTCTCTTCTCCTATTTAAACACAAACACATTTTCCACAGCCATCGGAGAGCCTCCTTAAAGTTTAATGCAATTTTGTAAAATAAATTTAAATTTCTGTTAAAAATCAATGACAATACAGATGATTGTCTTTCTAGATGTATTAAAACAACTAGAGTGTATATGGTAAGTAAGCATGACTGTTGATATTTTCAAGATAAGATACTACAGATCATTGAAGAAATCTTGTATGCTCTTTTTTAAAAAAAATAAAGTTTAAATTATAAAATAGATAGCATTATAAAGTCTCACCTTATACACTGTCATCTATACATACCTGTGAAATAATTCACAGTTAGCATATATGCAGAGTTTCTATAGTTCTACTGAACTACTATTTACCACAGGAACAAGTAATGTGTATGACCCTATTCAATAAATATGTTCTAGCATAAGAAACATCAATAGTTTCAGAATGAAAACAAAGAGGTATATGCAAAATAAATATACATAATGTTACTGGAAAGTATCTGTACTGTCCTCTATTCAAATACACAAAAAACAATTTCTGTACTCCTTTGCAGTGTGTTTACTTCCTAAGGATATATTATGCACTTAATATAGGAAACAGTATTTTGCTTCAATCAAGTACGTATGCTTTAGTGACCCAATACTGCATATGAAAACTGATGAACTAAAGTTACCAATTAGAATGCATAATTTTATCATCAAATATATCTGAGATACTAAAAATGTGCAAAGTCCCTTCAATAAATTGATTCCAAAGTGGTATTTTGAGAATGGTACCTCAAAATGAAAACATCAATATCTTTAGAAACATAAAACAATTGGTTTTACCAGACTTAAGCCCATTGATTTACGAAAGTACAACCAAGAGAAGGTTACATGAAAATTCTTGCACTATAAAATGTATGCAAAAATACATGTATTAAGGCAAGCAGCATTTATAGTAAAACTGTGTTTTCATAACCTTTGTGTGAGTTTCTGGAAATACCTGCTCTGTCTCTTGCATTCTTGGTATTGTAAATTGAGTAGATATTATGTTTGTTCAAATGAGTTTCCAAAAAAGCCACTGGAAAGGCACCTGAGAAAGCAGCCAAGCATTCTCCTAGTGCTGATCGTTGCCTGTAAATTAACAAACAGCATTAAGTATACATATCTTTGATGACTGACTACACCTCAGGGTAGTTGTATACCAGTCCTATTTTTATTCTAAAATTAGGTCATCTCAAAGAGATAAGCCACTTGATTATTAGGATCATCAACACAACAACAGATAATAGAAACTGAAGTCCAGCAACCCTCTGCTAATATATGAATGAAATGTTAAGACATAAAATGTCAAAGGTGACCTACTCAGCTGAGAGCAAATGAGGAACATGCAGGGGAAAACCCAAATAACCACAGCAATGCCTTCTATTCTATTACTTTCCTCTCAGCTTTACTGACTTTATAATCTCTACTCTAAAGAAAAAGCTACTGAAAAGACCAAGAGACCAAATACAACTATCATTTTGAGTGATATAATTTCCTTTTTCTGAGAAATAGTAGTAATCAGACCTTGCTCTAGCACGACAGTCAAGTTCTTCAGAGAACGGAAAATTCCTTCTGCTGATCAGTAACTCTGAAAGCTCTGCACAAACACTTTGCTCTCATATCTTCAAATATATGACATTTATTTGATAATCAAAATTCCTTAAGTTTGCCAAAATTGTGAAACACCTGTCTCTAGGAAGAAGTAAGTGATCCCCTGTCACTTCACTTGAGTCCTTCAGGGGATGTTAAAAACTATTCTTTTTCATTTCCAATTCAGTTGATCAGAGCAGATTTTAGATATATGAGAAACCCTTAGCTGCTGAAGCTGAGCTACACAAGTGATAAAAATCCAGGAGCCCCATGAACTTCCAAATGAAAAAAAAAAGAAAAAAAAAAAAAAAAGGCCTCCAAACTGATCTCATGATTTAATAAGATTCATCTTTAGTCTGCAGTATATCTCATTTTAGGAACTTATATTCTTTCTAGATCTAACTCATTAAACTTGATTTATTTAAATCTAACTTCATTCCCATTCTTATTTATCTTGTTTACTCCTTATTCCTTTCTTCCTTTTCATTAGGTCTTCATAAGCAAAACATACATCCATCACATACACCTACAAAGAGCATGCTACACGCTTTTCACTTGCGATAATGGTTGTAGACAACCATACACAAAAAACATCACTTACACTGACATATTTAATCTTAATTACAAACCTCATATCATTACCAAATACCAAAACCAATCAATTTTATATTTTTTATGAAATTAATGAGACCAGTTTTTCCACAGATGTGTATTTTGTTACTTGCAAACATTGGTCCCCATCTTTCTTTATAATGTTTCCTATGATACAGCCACCAAGTAAGCAAGGGTATGTTAAGGGGCTGGTCTGGAGTTACACACAGGCTGATTTGCTAGACATTGTACAGATATATGAACTTCCTAGATTACTGCTGACAATATCTGAAATGTATGAGTTCTGTTTAGCCTTCCCTCAGAACAATGCTAGTCACTATAGGGCAACTATTCAGTTTTAATAACTGAATTAGCTAGGTACTTCTATTTTTTGGCTGAATATACAAACCAAATGTAACTTGGAGGGAGGTTAGTAGATACACAGATGCACAAAAAAAGCCATTATAAAGCTTTATTTCCCTCGATAACTGAGCTAGAAAAGAAGTAGTGTTGTATGAGTGACAAATTGATTTAATTAAGGATAATGAAAAAGAAATATACATCACAATTAAACAATATATAAGAATTATAACAATCACTGAACTGAATGACGTATTTTTTACAATTCCCCAGTCGAATCTCAGATCAAGTGATACTTATTGAAAAGCCAGATAATTTTATTTACAATTTTTGTTTTAATTAAGAAATATATTTTGACAAACACATAATGCAACATTTTAAGTGTATTTTAATAAATGCAGCTGCAATCCACTTAACAACTGAGCACCTTTTTCATCTCAAGATATGTTTCCAACAACAGTCTCATCCTATATTTATTTCTGGACTGCATATTAATGAAGCTAAATATAAACAGAAATATTAAAAATAGAGGAACACTTTTTCTTCTTACCGCTCTACGTAGATACTCTTGCTGGTACCCAGAGCATATAAACTGGCCAATATTCTGTAACAGGAGACCTGAACATCTTCCACTAAAGAGAATAAGAAAATTATATAAAGAGATTTTTCTTCGCAATACATTTTTGTAGAATTAAAATACATTTCTTATGACAATAACTGAATTAATAATAAACTATCAAAGGCAATCCACAGAAATCACCCTCTAAATACAGAAAGCCTTCTGACCAGAGTGCGATATTTTTTACTCAAAGCTTCCATTTACTTCATTACTAAACTACTAGCTAAGACAGTAAACATATTTCACTAGTGCACTAACTTTCTGAAATTAATGGCATACCAGTTCTTTACAGATAACATCTAATCACATATTCTGTGAATTGTATTAATTTAACAGCTGTAAAAAAATGTGCCAATGAATTTTTTCTAGTTTATCTGTAGCACTGCACTTAAAGTTTCATGGCAAAATAAATAAAGTGCTGAAAGTAAAAAAAAAAAAAAATTAGGGAAAAAATCAATTTATAAATCTAAAATCACTGTATAAAATACATTACAAAATAAAGGCAATCCTGGTAAACATATATTTAATTATTTTAATCACAGTTTATATTTTTCAAAATTTAAACACAGATACCAGTTAATAGCATGTCACTTCAGATTGATAAAGGATTAAATAAATAATCATTCAGTCCTTATGAATACTTCACCAAAGCATGTTTTGAAATTATAAATTGTTTCAGTCAAAAAAATTTGCGAATAATCTTAATACTTATTTGAAAAAATTGCTTTTCTAACATAATCTGCAGTAGTAGTGTAACAACAGTGTAAGTAAGAATCACCAAGAAGGACAACACTCCCATTTTTTCCATGTGTACTTTTTCTAGTCTCTCCAACAGTGCTAGTATCTTCCCTCAACATGCAATAAAACATTGGGAGTAAAATAGAACTAAGATTTCGTGGGCTAGGAGAGCCTACAAAATAGTGCAAAGCTACATAGCCTGGCTCTTTACTGTACCGTGATTTTAGTCCAGATAATCTTGGAGTTGAGTATTTTTACATAATAAGAGTAACTTCAGGTACATTTACCCACCTTTGTATGTGATCACTCCATGGAGCAATCTCTGTACATGTAGTAACACTCTAAGGTACAAGCACCAATTCAATTTGCTTGTCATCAGAGTAGCACAAATAAGATAATCTTACTCTTAGCAAGATGTAAAGAGAAGTTGTGTGTAAGAAAAATTAGCCTTTCCAACTATGCTCTAGACAAAGTAGGCGCAATTTAAATTAATTATTCATTCTCAGTTTATGAATTCTAAATTGGGTGTTTTACACCAGTGTGGTACATGTAGAATAGCTGATTAAGAATATCAACTTAAATAATGAAGTATCAAAGGTTGATTATCAAGTTCCAAAACATGGAATACCAGAGATCAAAAATTATACAAGGCATGAATATGTTGATGCCTGAAAACCAGTTTCTGATGAACAAGTGAGGTATATGAACCCCACAGTTGACTTTTTCTGGATACTATCAGAGACTCCTGGATTTTACAGAAATAATTTAATGAGAAAAGTGGATGTTTACATCTCGCCACATTCAAATCCATCAATACAACTCCAAATTTTCAAACACAGTCATCGTAATGCTTTTTTTTAAAAAAATGATTTTCCAGATTCTAAAGAAAAAAAAAACCCACAAAAAAACCCCAAACCAACAAAAAAACAACCCTATAATTTGATATTCTTTTATTCCAGGTTCTTCTCTCAGTTATTTCATTTCCATAAGTGAGTTAGCTATACAGAGCAGAATTGCTTCCTTTAGTTCAGTCTGGACAGAGGAATTCCTGTGGAGTTCTTAAAATATATAAAATTAAAGTTTTGTGCTACAGACTAAAATGTCGTGTTGCAGAGACTGGGTGTGGGAAAATAAAGGACATTGAATCTGCTATAACCAGAATCTCTATAGAAATCTTATATACAGAGTCTCATACACATTCCTTTTTCTGGTGTCTGAAATCTTCAGAAACTTCTTCGACTTTTCCTTAAGATCCAAGATGCACCCACCCAAATTCCCTGCTAACTGAAACTGAGTCAAGGTGCATGTAGGACCAATAACATCATTCTCGTAGTATAACTCATTTGTAGACAGAGCTAAGACAAATCAACTTACACAAAGTAACTTTTAACACAAGAAGAAAGTCATAATAAATCTACGGTAGTTATAAATAAAATCAAGCCTTCTGACTGTCTAATCACAGCCACATCTGCTTTAATATTTATACAAAGTGCACTAAAACCTGTGCACCAGCACCAGACTGTTCTAGGTTGATTACAGTAAATATTTGATTAAATTAATGACACTTTTGTCAAAATGACATAGGATTTGTCCTTTTCTAATAGAACGTAAAGTCTATTAATGCTTACTAAATGACACTACACCTATGTTAGTGGTAGGCACTTCTAAATAATACATACATATCAAATCTTCCCCAAACTGGTGCTGTCCAATATGCTCAAACAATGAAGATAGCACTGGCAGGAGAGCAACTGTGGTATAATTAATGATTTGTGTAACCCCTTTTGGCTGATTTCGGCTGTGTGTAAACTGGCCTTGCTTAAGATTTTCCAGTGTCTTCTCCAGATCCTCAGCAGCATTATCCAAAAATGCTCTCAATGCCATCTTAACAGATTCCAGACCAGTTTTCATTACAGTCCTGTATATAGCGTGCAAAAAGAATGAAAAAGAATATTCTATTAGACAAGCATGGAATAAAGCCTAGTCTTGGCTTATATGAAATAGATGATAAAGATCTGAAGAAAAATCTTTCATCTTTTGATACTTTAAAATCTTCCCATAGCAAAAGAATATACTGAAAAAAAAACATTTCATAGATATCCTGCAGAACACAAGGATATTTTATCTGGTTTCCCGTTATGAAAATATAGTCCTTTTAAATTTATAAATTAAGTGATCCATTTGCCTTCAGAGGGAAAAAAGCCGCCTAACAAAAAAGAAGAATGAGTAAGTCTCCAATTTATGACTGTAGGTAGAGAAGAACTATCTCAAGCTAGAACTCAGAAAGTCTTCCCAACCATAACAGTCATATTTCTGCCTCCAGAATAAGAGCATCAGAAAGGAATGAATAAAAACAACCAAATCTGTTTAAAATTAATTAAATAAATAAATGCATGGATTCCATAACTATAACCATAATCAGTTATGTAATTATATAATACAGGAGAATTATTACCTTACTTGTTTTAACTAGCTCAATTACTGAGATCCTTTGTTTAAGGAAAGTATCTATTTAGTCATGCATAAAATAAATCTAGGTGAAATTCTATTGTAAATTGAATAACAGTCCTGAGTTTTTGTTTTTTTGCTTTACAGAGTGAATATATAGTTAAAATGGCAATATTTTTAAACTTTTATGTAATGTCCATGAATCCCTTAATCCCCATCTGGAGCTATTTTTACATCTCTACCAAGAGCTGAATTGGTGACCTCCACCTGTATCTGTATTCCACCTGTATGATTGCATAGAGCATGGCCAATTTCTGACAAACACCCAAGATATTGAAACCTAAAGGATTACCATGCAACAGCTGAGCCATATTAATCAACCATGATCATGACTCTACCCCATAGCAAATGCAAAGTAAAATTTGTTAATTTAAGAACCCTGCAAAGATACTGAGAAAAAGAGCTATCTGCATGTAATCCAGTCATTTCTTTGAGAGTAAATGCAAAGTGAAAAAAGTTCTCTTAATTTACCATGGAGGTAGTTTAAGTTATCAAGTTTTGTTTCACAACTGCAAATATCTAAAAGTCAGCTATCAGCACAGACAGTTGACTGTACAGTTAATGAAAAGCAACACATTACCCTCCAATATTTCAAGACTGTCTCATCCATAAACTTCACAATGGCCCAAGCATCTCAATTTAACTTAAAAGTACCACTGAATTTGAGGTAAAGGTAGTTTTTGTTTAAAATAGAACCTGAATTAACTTTGCAACAAAGACATTCTATGAGACAGATTTACTGCACTCTGTGTGCATTTAACTCTTGAATTTTTTCAGTAAACAGTGAAAGCAAAAGAATAAAATATTTCTAACGTTATTGTGTTTTTAGGACAGTCACATGATTAAAACTAGATGAACTAACAGCCAGCAGTTCGTGGACACCATTGATCCAAACTGAAGTTCGAAGTGTAACCTAGAAATATTTTCCTGCCAACCTCTAGTAATTAACTAGTAATTAACCTACTTTGCAATGGGTATTATTTTCAGCACTATGACTTCTTGAGTTTTTAAAATCTGTAGCCTTACATATGTAGCCCAAATCTGACTGCACATTATTTTCTTAAGCAATTTTCTTTGTACTTTAGAAAATATATTCAGTATTACCTCGCATCCAAGGTCTGGCCCAGTATGTGAAGACAGTTGACTATTGATGTTGCATCATTTCCTAAACAGGGAGGAAAGTTATCCGCCAATTAAACTGAGCATACTGTACAGCATATCTACACTTTGCTAAGTGTATTTATAAATGACATAGCAGAAGAGCAACTGAACTTCTGCATAATTTTAACTTTCAAGTTAAAAAACATGCAGTTTGTTGTCTTAGCCTTGTTTACACAAATGCAGTAACTAGAGGCAGTAAAGCATCTCCCATCAAATAGCGGAGGCAGTCAAGATGGAAGCACTTAAATGTGGAGTTAATTAGAGCTGCAGTGTGTTGTCTGGTTTTCATTTAAGTTCTACAAATTTTGCTTTAATTGATTCAAATTTACCTGAACATTTATCTTCCTTCTCTCAGTAATACAAAAGCCGTTAACTTCTGTAAGCTACTGTTGCAGGAAGAGAACGTTTATATAAAATGTCATCAAAAAGGTTAGCTCCCTAGTGTTACCAATAGACTGCAGCCATTTATAGCAGGATCATGGGTGGCCCACATGACTAACAGTCTCTGACATAATATGCATCTCCCATAACCAATGGTTTTTTTCACATTTATGTATGTAAAAAGGGAACTAACACAGAACATGCCTTGTATGCATATGCACATCCCAAGATGTTGCTGTGTACAAGCCACCTCTAAGTTCACTTTTTAAATCCAGAACGCATTTAGGCTACACAAATTTGTCCCACAGCTTATTTAATAGATTTTTTACTGAATCTCTGCAAAAAATGAAAATTCCTTTTCTTCCTTCTATATATACTTAGATTTTCTCAATTAAAAATGAATGTTTAATATAAGATAGATGTCTGAAAATACTGTCCTCTGTATACAGTGTACTATGCTTTCTCACTGGTGGTTGTTGCACTTGAAAATATACGCAAACACACAACTAAAATTATTAACTGCTTCAGTGAAATAGAGATTTTAAAAGATAAATTGCAAGGAAGGAGTGGGAGGTTTATTGCAGCACCGAGAATGTTGTTCTGTGATATCAAACAAGGATGCACTGTGGTGGCTTTCATCCACAGTAGATTAAACAAACTTGACCACAGCTTCCATGGCTGCCCCTAGCCAGGCAGCCCCATCCTCTTTGCACTGGCAGTCATGCAGTGATATAGCGAGCAGATGAGAAAGCTGAGGTGGCCTAAAAAAATCCTTTCAACCCTCCCTCCCAAACAAGAATAATTTTTTTACCACCTCCTTTTTTTTTTCTTTTTTTTTTTTTTCCTTACTATTTTACTGCTCTGGTGATATGAATGCCAGTGCTGATGAAAAAGAGAACGCAGGACTGTGCTAATGACAGCAGGGGTGGAGGGGAATATTCAGAGCAACCCAGACTTAGGCTGTGGATTAGACTGTCATGAAGGAGTATCTTAACATTCATCATGCAGGTGTGCATACGCTGCATGCTACAGTGCAGTATAGAGGTGCTCACTCCAGCTCCCTGAAAATTTACATTGGCAAGCTATTAATATCATGTAGACATATTTCAAGAGCCATGTATTCATCAGGAATCAGGTACATATGCTGCAACCAGATGGAAGGGTCAGAAATTCATCTAGTTATTCTGAAAACCAGACAAGCTTTAGGTATAACCCTCTAGCAGATACTGCAGTGTGGTTGGTTCCATAGACTGGGATATCAGAGCAGAATTCAGTGATCATGATAAATGCAGCCCCCTTCAATCTAAACTGATTGACATACTAGAGTTTGGCCAATTTATCCGTGTAATACTAAAAACAGGCTTTCAAAATTATCATTAAATTTCTTTTCTGGAAGATGTCCTTCAGGCGGGATTTGTTACAGAACCTTAGAAAATGCAAATTGTTATGAAATACAGATTTAGGTTCAGTGGAAATTTCGCGTCTTGCTTTTGTTCAATGACAGAAATTTATTCGTTTTGACTGTGTTTCTAAAACAAAAACCCATAATAAAGAGTATTTTTAAAATATTTTACCTTAAAATGCCACAGTTAAAACTAAAAAAAAAAAAATTAAAAAAAAATCCTTTTAAATTGAACATTTGAAGATTTAGTTTGCTTCCAGCCTGAGGTCAGAAGTCAATTTCAGAAGGCCATCCATATTTAAACTGAGTTATGAAATCTAAAATGAGGGGTTTTCTAAAGAAATCAGTTTTATTACTATTGACAGTATTTCACAGTGTTTATGTGAACCTTCTTTAAATTAAAAATATTATTTATTAATTGAAAATGTTCCTGGTTTTCAGACACCTGAAAACTAGATAAAAAATACTCTGTTGTAGAAATGAATGTGCAGTGTATAAGATTTCAGTACGTCATGAAAGAGGAGCAGGTGACAAATACAATTCAATAGGATAAAAATTGAAATAAGAGCTGTTCCTTAAAGGAACTCTCCACACAACTCAAAACAATAGAGGCTGGACACATGCAAATATTAAACCACATCAGTTAAAGAGGTTTTAAGGCTAAAAGTATTCCAGGAGCTAGTATAAATATCAGGCTGATGGTTGGATCACCATTCAGCATCTATTACAATTGCAGTTGATCCCATGAGGTGCAGTCCTAACAATTCTTGAAAGCTGTGTTATTACATCATGAGGGAAGAACTGTTGCTCTATTGCAAATATAGATATTGATCCCAGGATGCCTCACTGGAAGGACATTTATACATTCAGGATCTCATTAGGCAGAGAAAGCTTTCCGTTTCTTTTTAGGAACTCCTCTGAATAATTTCTCTAAGTTCCCAAAAATGAGTGAACAAAACCAGGCATTTCTTATCTGATGTCTCATCCAGCTACCTTTTATTTCAGATTACACAGGTCTGTATTACCAATATGAAGATTTAAAAAAATAAATAAATAATTACATACTTATATAGAAAGAATGTCTTTCTGGAGATTTAAATATAAAAAATGAATCAAACTAGTCATATAAGTTTGTTTTTAAAATTGAGAAACTACAAATTCAAATGCTCAATTCACCAAAATTATTCACTAAAAACTTTCAAATTCATCCCACTAATAATAAGTAAATCAATACAGTCTTACTGATGTACAGCTATAGCTCTCAAACAGTAAATTGTTTGTGTCAAAATCTACTTTTACAGTGTAAAGAAATAATAATTTAATGCTGATTACAATTCCACAATCTCAGTGGCACTCCTAGATATCAAATGCAATTAACTGTTTAAGTTCACTCTGGAAGACTTGTATGCTTAATTTCTCATTTTACTAAGACTTGTGTATGCAGCTTAAGCTACACAAGTTTTACTAATAACTTTTGTACTTGCAGCTGTATCTTCAGAAGTACCATTCAAATTCACAATAATATAAAACACCTATGCTGCAAAACCATATAGTATTTTTTATTTGTTATAGCAAACTCCTCGCTATCCATAAAGGTTATTATCAAGCACCTGTTTCTCATTTAAGATGCCTCCAAAATGCACAAAAAACTTTCTCGGTCCCAGCTGTGCTCAGAGGCTGTCCTCATGAGCATTTTCCCCTCTTCTACACAGGCATTATCTTTGCTGGAGTACAGGCAATTCTTTTGATGACATGATGTAATTCAATGTCAAGGTAAGGAAATCCCTTAGGGTGAATTTGACTTGAGTGAGTAGGTCCACAGTAAATGACCATTCTCCAGAGCCTTACGGTGACCTTGTCATAACTCATGGAAAAACTACAGTACACTTCTGTGTTGGTATAAAGATTTTGTATTCTGTTAGTTACTGCATACTAGGAAAAGAGTTAGAAAACAAACTGTAGCCATAATGAATACTCATCTGATCCCATCTGACTTATCTCCTTCTACCACTTGAACCCAAACAACAGGAAATATGGAAGCTGAGATGTGTAATGGAAAAGATCTTTTCTTTAATACTGAAGAAAGTTACATTGACTTAGATTTTTAACTTCAACTATTACACATTTAAAAAAAAAAGAAAAAAAAAGAAAAAAAAAGCAAATCACACAATAATGAAAAAGATTTGCAAAATTTTAATAGTATACCTGAGCTAGTTCATTCTTTGAAGAAACAGCCTAGGGTATAAAATGAGAGCTTATGTGTACGTTTGTGACATACTCCACCCTTCAGAAAAAGCTGCAAAAATGCCACACAGCTGCAGAAATAACTCCATTCCTCCTATGAGCTTTTGTCTTTACAGGAAAATCCACTCAGCTCATCCCAAAACATATTTAAAAGCGATATCCCAAAATAACTTCCAATCTTTCTTCTCAGTTTAATGGTTTTCATAAAGGTCTGTAAGTTATTTAAACACCACACTGCTGCAGAAAGTAAGTTCCTTCCCTTCAAATTGAATGAAATATGTAGGAATTGAGTTAGATGCATGCTATCTTAATCAAATTCTAATTCACTAGAAAAATACCCAATTAGGTATGTTCATAGATGCTGAAGTTTGCAACACATCCAAATAAGAAACATATATGCATAGGATCTACTACTTCAACTCTCCTATCACCATGGCATAAGAAAAAATTGCAGAGTAAATGACTGTGCCACACACTGCATATAATGTATACACTTGATACAGACTTCAAATTGACTTCAATTAAGTGATTTTTCACATGGCATAAGACAAACACCGAGCTCCTGCTAGATTCACATAATACCAAAAAGCTAGTACACATGCATAGGTGGAGTCAAGCACATCTGGGAATATTTAAGAATTCCACAGAACATAACTAAGCATTTCAGCTCACTACAAATTTTCCTTAATGACTTTCCAATAAAAATGTGCATTTCTGATGCTCTGTTTTTCCCAAACAATTTAGAATAAAATAAGAAATTAGTAATTATAATTAAATCACCAAAATTCTTTTGTAGGATAATGAAATCCAGATATTAGTTAAGACATGTGGAAAATTAAACAAAAACCCCCAGTCTGAAAACTACAAAAGCTTTTTATTCCATCTAATAAATTATGTGATCTACCAGCCTAAACAATTAGTGGTCTGGGAAGACCATGCATTTCAGCCATGCAGCATGCAACAAAGCAGCACGTAACACAATGCAAAAAATGGCAAAGAAAACCAAGTGATGGCCATGCTAGTATTTGTCAAGGGTCTCCTTACCAAACAGTGAAATCCTATGCCTGACAAGAACTCCAAGTTTGCAGAACAGGCTGAAGACAAAAGAAAAATAAAAGAGAAGAGAAGGGAAAAGGAAAAAAATAAGGGGGAGGGGGGGAGAAAGAAAAAATAACAGCTGATATATGAGCAGGAAAAGCAACATGATGTCACGCAGAAAGAATCAATTATCTGAGCAGAATGTGGGACAGAGTACTAAAGAAAGAGTTTTTAAGTGCATATTCTTAACAAACATGGTTAAATAAGCACATATTGTAATTAAAGAAACAAAAAAAATTGAAAGCAAAGCTAATTAATATAAAAGCATCTTATATGATAATCCACAAGGAAATAATCATCAAAGCTTTAAGTAGTAAAATGTGGTCAGTGTGTGACCCAGGATATCACTGACAATTTGAAAACAAAGGGTAAGGAAATCAGATTAATTGAAGTGTTTGATGGCAAATGTTTAACTAGTCCAATTTGGACCTTGTCATCTTGAAGTAAATGAGAATTTATTTTCAAATATATTGCTTTTTAAACATACTTAACATGAAAAATAGCCTCTTACATGGTTAAAAAAATCAACAAAAATGGATATGATCAATATTTCATTTCAAGTTTAAATTACTCCCTGTGCTGATGAGCAGTGCCCCATTCAGGACAATGAAGAACAAAGTTTTGCGTTAATTCATAGAAGCAGGAGCATACTGCCCTGTCCAAACTGACCTGGCCTCCAGATTTAGGAAGGGTTAGCTCAATCTTCATGATCCAATTTAGTCTGAGAATTATCTCCAACAGCAACATCAATTTTGGTGTTATGTTTTATGCTGCAAAACCCCTCATCTGCCATAAATGACATGAACAATATCATGTCATTTTATTAAGCTACTTAATTATTAGGCACACAGGCTAGTTATCAACCTCTGATTTAAAAGCAAAAGACACCATAAGCATGTCTGCACAGTTTATGGATGAGATCTGAACATGTTGTTCCATTGACAGACAAGAGAATGGTGCCAAATGGAAACATTTATGTCCAGAATCTGAACAGCCAGGTTAATGTGGTGTTGAATCCAGCTAATTAGCCAGTGCACAGTGATCCACTATAGCAACAGCAACTGCTCTGTTTTAGAAATGAGTCTGGCTGGTGCATGTTCAGACATCTCTGTTCACTTTTTATTCTGTGAGGCAGACATATACTATATATTCTTTCACAAGGATCTTGGTTCAACTAGTCCAACGGAAAACATTGTACAGATGCATGTTAGCATCATATAAAACTTGTGTCTAACGAAGTCATTAAATAGCTCACAACCTCTCTTATTTTCTAACATACAAATGTTACTCAACTGACTGTAGCACTCAGCAGATGCTATGTTTTCACAAAGTCAGACTGAATCTATTATCTCCATTGTAATTACTTTAGGTTAAATAAAAATGTCCAAATGGCCAGTACTTAGACTGATGTTCAGAATTAATTTTATACAACTGCTGTAGTACAAGGACTTGTAAGATGGTCTAATAGATGAGAAATGCAAAAAGCCCAATCCTGAAGAGGCTGGTTACAAATACGGTAGAATATAATGCCACATTTCAAGAAGAGGTCTGACCTGTATTTGACTTCAGAATAGATCTGGATTTAATGTATTTGCTGAACATGGAATGCTTATAGCACATGCTAAGACTGTCACTGCATTATCAATACCCAAAATTATATTCTTCCATAGCTGAATGACTGCAAGCGTATCTTCATTGGAAAAAGAAAGCAGCCAGGAACTGCCCTTAGCTAGAAGAAAATCCTACACGAGTTGCACTCAAACAATTCTAAACAGGAAAACTCAACAAAGAAAAAAGAAATTGGGAATCTATTCAAATGACCCAAAACAACTTTTCAGGAAATGGATCATATAATGTAGTTTCTATAAATTTTGTGTCTTGATAATTAAGAAATAAAGTGCTCAATAGCACTGGTAATAGCTATCATTCATCCAAGGTTTCCTTGCATGTGTTTTCTTCTCTTTGGCTGACACTTCTGGATGGCAGGTAACTCAAGTATGACCGCAGCTCTGATCCTTCTGCTGGGCTACATGTTCAGGAATCTCACATAGCTAGACACCATATGTGCAAAAGTCCTGAATCTATGCAGCATGTATGCTGATATATCCATGTTTGGCATATTCCAGAAGTATGGGGTTTACTGACATGATTTAATCACTGTGAAAATATTGTTATCCAGGACATTATAGACAGAAAAACAGCAGCTCAGAGTGGAAAATTATCTAGATGCATGCATTTTGATAGAGTTTTTCAATTCTTTGAAGAACGCCATTCATCCAAGCTGTCAGATCAAATTATTCCATGAGACGACGCAGGGTCAAGACAGTCATTACTTGCTTATGCTTAGTATTGTTGCTATAAACTTCACTCAGTATTCAGACAGTCTTACAAACCCTACATGGCTATAGGACCATCAACTGGCTGTTAGCCTCAAAGAACAACAATTCAGTTTTGCATGGTTCAGTACCCAAGAACAGCCAAGAAGGCAACCATGATACCTGTACATTACAGGTACGCAGCAGGTTCTGTGTGAAGCTTGTAGTCCACCTTACTAAATGTGAAATAGGGTTTCAATTCAATCAGAAGTGAAATTAAGTGAAAATATATCTGAGAGATGGTCTAAAAATTGATAACTTCAGAGAAAAGATCAAGTGGATATTTCTGTCATATTACTACTGTTATTACTATTTAGAAAACCGAAGAGCAGAAAGAATGCAGCTCTCATTTTTACTTTTTATGGTGGGCAGTAATAACGATACTTACTGAAACACAGTTATAAATACGTTTGGTTTTTATATCTACCACAAAATTTTGCAGGAATAATGACTTCAGAATATACCTATTTCTAACAGTGAAAACTGATACATATCTGTATAGCATGTGCCACAGACTGTGCAACTGATGTATTGTTGCACATTATGTTCAATTTAAGTTCCTTGCATGCTAAAATAATCACCACTACCTTTAAAAGAGCATATAATCGTAACTCTGTACTCCTCTCTTCATTTTATACAATGAATTTTCCTAACAGGAAAAGAAAGTGAAAAAAGTTTAATTTGTGTGTTCATAAAAATATTTCTCTGCCTCCCACTTCTCACTTTCCCACAATCAACTGCTGCTGTTTAAAGACAAACACACATATACATAAACATTAATATTATTTTAAGTTTTACCTTGTCACCATTTCTTTCTCTTTATTAGAGGCATGACCTCCACTACTGAGAGGCCTGTTTGCTGCAGATAAGAAATACAGGCGATGATTTTTAAAATATTGATCAATCAAAGGGAGCACAACCTGAAATTACATCAGAAAGAGGTGGTTATTTCAGGGCTTTCTTTACTATGTTCTGTGTTACTCTTTGTAAGTCACAGCTGAAGACAGGAGATTTCAAATGTGTTTTCTCTTTTAAAATCTCTATGTATTTTTTCTTTAATGCCTATTCCTCTTTGAATTCAGTTAGTATTCAAGGCACTTAAAATGTCACCAGGAAAGGCAGTAGAAAAATTTTACATTATCTCTGGGACTGGATCTGTGGTTTCTTTAGGAGGAGCACAAAGCAGAAAGTATAACTTTATTTTATCTCACAATTTAAGATTTTTCCAGTACCACATACCCAGACACAATTACTGTTGTTCATGCCTTTTAATGTAGGTTTAAGTAAAGAAATCACTTAAAACTGCCAGTGCACTACTGGCACTTAAATCTAGATGCTATCAAGTAAAACTCCCAAAACATCCTCATTCATTAAGGGCTTTTCCACAGAAGATTTCCTGTTTACTTCATGTGGTGACCATTACTCACTGTCCACTGCAGGTGTCAGCCAGGAGGAGATTCAAAATAAACAGACAATAAGAAAATCTGAAATTGCTTCCTTTTTGGAGCATGGTTCAAAAGCAGTTGGAATGCTAGCTTCTGAGTCAATGACCTTGGCAAATAGTACCACATGGAAGGTACTGAGATTACAATTTATTGCAAGGATATCAAGGTTAGAAAATGCTGCAAACAGCTGTCTTTGCTTTTTCACTAATGAATTCAAAAGGCACTTTGAATATGCAAACACCATACAAGCTTTTATGTGCAAAAGACATAAGCAGATAATTTATAATGTATAAAAACTTCTTGACACAAAAAGGAGAATTGGGCTTCACAGGAATCTCATGACTTTGAGGAAGAGCAACTGCAAAGTCCTGCACCTGAGAAGGAATAACACCATGTACCAGTACACACTGAAAGCTGGCCAGCTGGAAAGCAGCTTTGCAGAGAAGGATCAGGGGGTCTCAGTGGAGAGGACACTGACCACGAGCCAACAATGCATCCTTACTGCAAAGGTGGCCAACAGCATCCTGGGTTGCACTAGACAGAGCTTTGTCAGCAGGGCCAGGGAGGTGATTTATCCTCTCTACTCAGCACTGGTGAGGCCACATCTGAAGTGCTGTGTCTGGTTCTGGGCTTCCCAGTCCAAGAGAAGCATGGATGTACTGGAGAGAAAGTCCAGTGAAGAACCACAAAGATGATGAAGAAACTAGAGGATCTTTCAAATGAGAAGAGATTTAAGGAGCTGGGACTCTTTAGCCTGGAGAAGAGAAGGTTTAGGAAGAATCTCATCAACATGTATAAATACCTGAAGGAAGGGTGTAAAGAAAATACAGCCAGGCTCTTTTCAATTGTGCCCTGTGACAGGACTAGAGACAATGGGCACAAACTGAAACACAGTAGGTTCCCTGTCATCATCAGGAAACACTTTTTTACCATGATGGTGACTGAGCACTGGCACAGGTTGCCCACAGAGGTTGTGGAGTCTCCACCCTCGGAGATATTCAAAAGCTGTTTGGACATGGTCCTGGGCAATCTGCTCTAGGTGATGCTGGACTAGATGGCCTCCAGAGGGCCCTTCCAATCTGACAGATACATAGCTGTGTTAATTCCAGTAACTATTGCTCACATTTATCTGCCCGAAGACTGTAAATGAAAGATCTTCAGAATAAGACTAAGACAGTAAACAGAAAATGTAGGGAGGTTGTGAATAACATCATATGAGTAGTTGCATATCATGGAGCAAGGAAATAATGAGAATAACAATATAGTCCTGTAATTTTTTCACACCTATACTTCATCCAACAGTACTTTCAAGCTATTTTTATTACTACTGATTTTAATTAATGAATTTAAATGTTTATTGCCCATGCACGTAGCATGGGGAATAAACAAGAGGAGTTGGAGATGTGTACATGCCTGAAGGGCTATGACCTGATTGTCATAGAGACATGGTGGGATGGCTCCTATGACTGGAGTGTTGGCATGGAAGGATACAGGCTCTTCAGGAAGGACAGGCAGGGGAGACGAGGAGGGGGTGTTGCCCTCTATGTCAACAACCAGCTGGAGTGTATGGAGCTCCACCTGGAGATAGATAAGGAGCTAACTGAGAGTCTATGGGTCAGGATTAAAGGGAAGGCAGGGAAAGGGGATGTTACAGTGGGGGTCTGCTGCAGAGTAGATTGAGACCAGCTCTGAAGAGAAGGACTTGGGAGTGGTGGTGGATGAGAAGCTCAACATGAACCAGCAATGTGTGCTTGCAGCCCAGAAGGCCAACCATATCCTGGGCTGCATCAAAATAATCATGGCCAGCAGGTCGAGGGAGATGTCCATCTACTCTGCTCTCGTAAGGCCCCACCTGGAGTGTCGTGTCCACTTCTGCAGCCCCCAACACGAGAAAGACATGGAACTGTTAGAACAAATCCAGAGGAAGGCCATGAGGATGATCCAAGGGCTGGAGCACCTCTCTTATGATGACGGGCTGAGAGAGTTGGGGCTGTTCAGCCTGGAGAAGAGAAGGCTTCGGGGAGACCTTATAGAAGCCTTCCAATGCCTGAAGGGGCTACAAGAAAGCTGGAGAGAGACTTTTTACAAAGGCAGGTAGTGATAGAACAAGGGGTAATGGCTTCAAACTGAAAGAGGGGAGGTTTAGATTAGATATGAGGAAGAAATTCTTTGCTGTGAGGGTGGTGAGACACTGGAACAGGTTTCCCAGAGAAGTTGTGAATGCCCCCTCCCTGGAAGTTTTCAAGCCAGGTTGGATGAGGCTTTGAGCACCCTGGTCTAGTGGAAGGTGTTGCTGTTCAAGGCAGAGGGTTGGATCTAGATGATCTTTAAGGTCCCTTCTAACCCAAACCATTCTATGATTCTATAAATAATGAATTTAACACAGAAAAGTACAACTATAACAACAATAATAACGTTCACTAAAAAATACTTTCTCACTTCAACTACTTGCTATGTTGACAAAGAATAAGCAAAGATATACTGTACTTTGGCAAAAAACTTGATTTCTTGTTCATATGGGAAGTGCTCTCCTTTGCCTCTGCTGCCACCATCTGCAAAGAAAGAAAATTAAGCTCCCTGTCATATATCCCAATTACAGTATATTCTACATTTTTCTTAGAAAGTGTACACTATAAACAAACAATTCTAGTCATCTTTAGATGTAGTTTTAAGATACCACAAACAGTATACACACTAGTTAAAGTGGCATCTTATGACTACTCCATGAGAAGAAAAGTTACAGCACATAAAACACAAGAGTAATTGTCCAAATCTTCATAAAAGTGTAGACATCTCATAGTCCAAAGAGATAAGGATATTTTTGTGAGATGAAAATCTGGTCCTATGTTTGTATTTTTCTAGTTATTAGTAACAATTTGGAAGCCTGAACTCAGATATTAAAGGAACACCTTTCTCCAGTTGTTCCCAGGAGCAAAGTAATTAACAAATTTTTGCTATTTATTTGTGGACTTTGTCTAAAGAACAAAATTAATGGTTAGAACTACCCAATTGAAATAAAAATTGCCTCACTTCCCCCATTACTACAAAAATACAATACTTTTTAAAGACATAATTTGGTAAAGCTCCCAGACTATTTATGCTTTACTTATAATCTTCTTTTTACTAACTCATTGAGAGACATGAAATGGTATTTGTGTCAACATTGTTTCTAGTGTTTCGGTATTTATTCATTATCATGCTTGCAGTTATGTGAAATCTATATGATTAAGCAGAAAGAAGCCAGGATAATCAGGTATTAGCAGTGGAAGTAACCCAATGAGTGATCAAGGCCAGTCTTTTCCTACTGTAAGCAACCATGGCATGTAACAATTCATAAATTTGATAATTTCCTCTTTAAAACTAGACATGCTTTTAGATGATCGTCAATTTATTCAATCTCCCTGTTATTTCTGCCACTAATACTGTCAATTACAGCATCTATGCCTAGACATGAGGCACAGTATATGTTACGTGGCATTACAACTCACATGGTCACACAGAAGCTGCATCTGGTCAGGTTTTTTGGTTTTCACTGCTCATGTAAGAAGCTGACTTGGGTCACCAAACTTTTATTTTTCTTATCTTTAACAAAACCAGATCAAGTTAAATCCTTTCCTACGTAACACTGTCGACGAAACACATGCTGAGTGTTTGTGAAAGAACATTCCCATTGTGGGAGTGTGTTAAAGAGGTTTCTCTATTCAACTTCCTCCTCCAGAGAAAATTTCAGAATGGTACAAATGAATGGTTTAGTTTGTTCTATGAAAAAAGGATTACATGTGAATAGAAAATATTAATGTCTGTACATGAGATATTATCTATTTCTGCATAAATACAAGGGGGCAGCTAATTTTCTTTTTCAAAGAATGAAAGTAATTATAAATTTTGGCTGAACACTTATTCTGGAGAATGAATATGTAAAACTGGAATGAATACGGGAAATACACAACTTCCCAAAATTCATCATCTTCACAACTGTATACAACTAGAGGGAAAACTCACAGTCCTAGAATGTGTCATTTTTTTGAAATTTTCTAGCTGTTTTCATAATATGAAACATCTTAGTTGATAATTCTTAAGAAAATGCATAACGAGTACTATACCAAACTCCAGAATGTACTGATGGGCTTCATCCACATATCTTATAAGCTGCTGAAGGAAACTGTAGGCAAAGCGTTTCTCAATGGAAGGTGTGTCTAATTCCAGGTCCTTAAGTCCTCTATAAAAAGAAGCAAGTCAATTTTCACACAGGCAAAAGTACTCAAAGCAGTGTGACCTTTCCACATAGTCTGACGCCATTGTCTCTAGTAATGATTAACTGCTTAGTAACGTAAGAATTGTTCTGTTTGAAGTAAACAGTATTCTTTCACTTATTTAGGTTTTGAGCAATTTGTTAAGTTACAACACAGATTTCCCAAGTAGGAGGTTACAGAAAAATGAGACTAGTCAATCAGTATCATTGTAATTTCTTTCCCTTACTTGTAAAGCATTACTGTCTTGCATTTCCCTTCAGGGACAGAGGGAACTGCCAAGATACTTCTAGTTAAGCAATCAAAACCAGAAATAAATCTAGTCTCCCTCATAATGACTTTTCCCTGAAATGGGGAAGTAATTGTCTGTAATGGAAAGAAAACTAGTCTCCCTCATAATGACTTTTCCCTGAAAGTCTGTCTGTAATGGAAAAAACTTTGAATAGCAGCATTTGTGAAATATCAGGGGAAAACCAAATCAAAGTGATGGGATTGCAGTTTACCTTTTCCAGTATGTTTCATCATAGCTACTAGTCTGATATGAAAAGCTTATCTTTATCCAACAAGTATGAATCTGCAGAGTAGTTCCATGATTTGGGCTGATGTCTGCTAACAACCAGTTGGCAATGACATAAGCCTTGATTCTGCAGGATCAGGACTTTAATGACTGCACATGAAGAAGCTATTCTTAACCAGAGAGGGAGTCTGTCACCCCATTGTCAGAGGCACCAAGTACATTAGTACTCAATTATTTTCCAAGTTCAAAAAGTATACCTACTGAATATAACTGCCTGTGTAGTGCACATTTCTGCTTTAAATTAGAACACTGATGATGGTAGGGTTCAGTTTTCGGAAAATACATTCTGGAACTAAAACAGCTTTGTCAGCTGATACTTGTGAGGGTGTAATAGTCTGCTTCATTAATGTTATCTGATCAAGGACCTTTTCAATGCAAAAGGGGGCAAAAAGAGGGAAGCCATAAACAACAACACATAGAGACACAAACCTGGTAGACAAGGGACAAAGGAGACAATGCTGGAGACCAAAAGCCTCCAGTTACTAATTAATAGGCCATTAATAAACTTTGGAGAGGGCCACCTGGATTTTGCAACTCCTAAGAGGGGAGGACATGAAGAATATGAGGATTTGGAACATCTGAGGCAGGTCAGTGGAACTAAAAAAAACTAATGATGGAATGTGCAGGGGAGGAGGATCAAGGAAGAACAAAAAGTACAAAAGACAAAAAGGGGTATAAAAGTCACATGTAAACCATTGCCTGTCAACACAGTTGTCTGACTGAGCCCTGCACCTCATCACTAGAGTCTATCCCATCTTCTTATGAAATCCTTTCTTAACTATCTCTCTGTGTAATCTCACTCACTATCCCATGTGTATGTATGTGTGTGCTGTGAGGAGTAAGTGCCAGCTACTGGCAAAAGACCAGCATGAGTAGATACTGGGTCAGCAACTGGAGTCAGACTTGGGGTGTAGGTGCCACTAGGCCTGTGGTGTCAGCAACAGGAGTGAAGGAGGGTCTCAGCATCAGTAATTGGAGAGGTCATAGCTTTCAGGAACATCTCTATGTGCCCTACAGACTTTAAACCCAGAGCGCCAGCTACTGCAGGGGACTGGCGTGAGTGGATTTGGTGCTAACAACTGGAGTCCCACAGTGCGGGGAGTAAGGTACCCCTGGCCTGTGGCATCTGCAACTGAAGCAAGTGGGAGTCCCAGCTGGGGTGGGAAAGCTGTGTGTACCAAAAAACAGCTAAAGTGGGGAGGCAGTGTCAGTAAGGTGAGTGAGGGGCTCAGCGCCAGCAGCTAAAATGGGACCATGGTTCACAAGCCATGTGCCTGAGTGCCATGTGCTTGGCAGGTGGCAAGTGTTTGTATCTTCCCTGAACTCAGGCTGCATGAGGGTGCACTAGACTAGAATGGTCACTGTCAAATAAGAGGCTGGAAATAAATGTGTGCAAGGCTTATGTGGCAGAAAGTCGAGTGGTAAGCAGACCAAAGGAAAACATAAATTAGATGCTTGTTTGTTTAGACAGTGCATTGGTCACAGGAGCAGCAGGTACATTGAGTTTAACCTGATAGAAAGATTCGTATTTGACTAGCACAGGAGGATCTAGTTGCAACAGGAACTATTTACTACATGATGCGTGTGTCCAATTTAATAATTATCTTATCATCCGTCTTAGCCTTCCAATTCTCCAAAAACCAAAAGCTGCTTTTCACTTATGTTAAGTTAGACAGAAATAAAAAGGATTAGCCAAAAAGGAACAGGTAACCTTGAATACAGTTGAGGAGTCTTTTGTCATTTTGACAGGGGATGAGAAAAGAAACCTTTACTGACTGATAACCTTCTTTGTACATCCTACTCTATCGAAGGGAAGTAAATTGAATTATTCCAGCCACGGTGAAATATTTTACCTAGAATTATTAGATTAGCAGTGGGACTCTATAAATGGGCTGAATTTCATATGTGATATAAAAGAAAGGAAGTAGGCAGATTTTAAGTAGATGTGCTAGGCTAATTAATTCACAATGATTACTTAAATCCATTTCTGTGACTGTTTCATTCACTTACTAATGTAAAAGTCATACAAATCTCAGATATGCCTTCAGTGCTTCCTAGTGACTCACACTTCCTAAGCCATGCTGGCTGATAAGGCAGACAAGCCTCCAATTTAATTAAAATTTTATTCACACTGCATTTAGTTGGTAAATATGTCATATTAAAGCCAAAAGGAATTATCTATGTTATTCTTCAGAGACTAGCATGTGTACATACTGAATTAAGAATGTTCTGTTGATTACTACATTTACACTGTGGATTGTTTAAAAAAAAAAATTATCAGTTTTCACATTTAAAATATTTTAATAACATTACAAATTAACTCAGTTGAAAGAAATGAGTAGTAGATTTCAGAAATAAAACTGTCTTATCAAAGCAATTGCCTAGAAACTCCTATAGGGAGGTGCATGTGCCTGACCAGTAATGAAGACTTAATAATTCTATCACTTGTAGAAAATAAACAAGTTTACTAATAGTTGGATGTATGGAGACACACCAGAAAGAAAAAGCATGCTGCAGTGTTGAGAGGAGAGGTGGAAGACATATAGAGATTCTGGAGAACTCTGCTTGTGCCTTCCAAAAACCCTGCTACTAACTCCATAATCCATTTCTTCCTTACAATGTCCTATATGAAGGAGCTCATCCTCACTCTCAGCTATGGAAACCTAAACATGAAGACAGATTTTTCTTTCCAAAAGAAAAAAAAAGGTTTAGAAACCTTCTGTGACACTAATACTGAATAGAGAATTACCTGGAGACAACATATCCATTAATCTGTAGAAATTTCAGAATATCCTGTGCTTTTTCTCTGTCCTTGGCTTTTTCTTTGGCTGTGAGTGTATCATACGGAACAAGAAGTGGATGGTTGCCTCCTCCTACTATGGAATATCAAGAGAATTAAAAAGCAGTTACAGGGTTATCTGCTGACATGCTAAATCTTGGTATGTAAAAGCACTGTCATAATAATACATAGCACATTACAGTAAAATCTAGTCTGAAATAACAACAATGCACTTTTCTGTTTCTTCACACAAACCTACAAAATATTCAGATAGAAACTTCATGCATGTCAGTAAACATAGTTCTAACATAACTGCTGCAAATACCACGTAAATATGTTGAACCTACTGCAAAAACTCTTAAAGAAGAAAAAAATGTCTAACAGTTATGAATGTGCATCATATTTACAACTTAATTTAATGAAACTGAAAATATTTCAATAAATAGCACAGCATTTCATAAGAAAATCAAGATATAAATGAATATATAAGCATATACAAACATAGTCCTGCTTTTCAACTTTTTGATGACAGCAAAAAGGGTTAATGGAGTTTAATGATACAACTGTATCACTTTCATTTATCTAAAAATATATGAAAGTGATAGTTGTACTTTATAGTAATAAATTAAAGACAGAAAATTAGAGTACATTATTCAAATGTGGTTCAGACAACTGTCCAATCTGATCAAACAATGCTGCCAAAACGGAGAGATAAACAGAATAAACTGCATTTGTATTGTATTGCTTACAAATAGCTGATGTATTGATATGTCTCTGAATGTAGATAGTTAATTTGTCAGGAAAATAAAGTTTCTATTATTATTATAAATATCTGCACAAAGAGCTACATTCTTAGGATTTCACCTTCTAAACTCACCATCATATAGGCCATCACAGTAAGTTTTTATGATAATTCCTACAAAACCCCAGGAAATTATAAGGGTAATGATCAGACTTATCTCAGAAAAAAATACCACAGCAAGTCTCTAGTAATAATATTTTTAAAAAGGAAAAAATTCCCTCAAGAAGATATTGGAGACATATCCTTAGGTGATTTTTTTAAGCCATATATTCTAAAATTTTCCATTAGTCCTGCCTGAGTTCAATTAAGTACACGCAAAATGTTAACTTAGTGGGCGAGTCTGATGGGGTATTTTTAGTTGGTTGGTTGGTTGGGTTGGGTGTTTTTTTAGGAATTACAGCCTTTAACATTGAAATGGTTTTATTTTATTTCATTCTATTATCACATAAGTGATCTAATTCCACCTTATTACAGCTGAAGGCAGACATGCAAAAATGCATATAAGCACAGTAAGTGTACACGCCCTATCTATGGAAATCATTAACACTATAATAGATCATTCAATTAATACACACGAAGTGTTCAACAAAGGGGAATGACACTTGCAGTTTTCAGGTGGCTAACGTACTTGCATATATAAGTCTTAAATGAAAAATAGGAGTATCTGAAGTCTGCATTACTGTTCTATTCTTTACCTATGTATAAAAATATTTAAAGACTGCACGTGTATATATATATATATACACTTATAAATATATATAAATACACTGGAGGAAAAAACCCACACTCTCGAGGGCCATTTTGCTCAGCTGACAAATACATCTACTTTTCACATGAAGAAACTCTCCATCAGAAGCCTCTCCTCCATTCACCATAGCCACCTCCAGCCTTTTCAGTACTATGCTCCTGTGCACAATACTGCAAAACACTATACAGTGTTCTCATCGAAGTGTAGTTCAGATGCAAAAATCTGCTTTCAAAGCTGCCAAATACAATAGTTCCGTTTAAATATGTAGTCTTCCTGTAGGCTACAATCTCCCGGACTTAGCCCATCCTGTGGCTACTTATCCTGAAGAAAATTTTTTAAAAAGCTGTAAAAATTAAAATGAAAGCTGTATTAAGGGGAAATATAATTAAAGACATGGAAATTCACAGTCATTTATCAAAGGTGCTTCCGGGTAGAACTCTACCTTCTCATAAAACTTTAACTACTGTACCTTTGCTAGAGCTTACAACTAATAATAATAAAAAAAAAAGCAAGTATAGAACTCAAAAAAAAAAAAAAAAGGCCAAGTTTGGGGCATATAGTTAGACTTGACACTTTCAGATAAGACAAAACCCTATCTTCAGTCATTTGGAAATGAGAACTTGCTGTTTCTCCAAATATTGTTTTCTGCATATGCCAATATAATGTTATCTGCACAAAAAAAAAAAATGCTTTAAAAAAAACCTTTTTTTTAAAAAAAAAAAAAACACAGAAGAAAAACAGTAAGTTACAAAATGCATGACAAAATTTGTCATTTAGGTAAGCAGAGATCGTGGAGCATATGAAATTTTTATGTGGAATCAAGGATCAGCTCCAGGTTTTTCCGCTGTCAATTCAATATATGATACGTGCAGTTCTTAGTAAACACTCTTTTAGATCTACCTGTAATAAAAGAAGTAATTCAAATTAAATCAGAGCACACTGGGCAATAGTCTTGAATATTAATGCTAGAAGGAAAATGTATTAATGTAGCTTAAATTTCTTTTCAAGCCTTGACTTCTCTTCCTTCAATATATTTGAATTGGTAAACTACTTCAACAAGATCTGTTACACTCAGTACCATAAAAACTTCCAGGCACTAAAAATCACAAAATATTTAATTAAGAACAGATTCTTTGTTGTTTCTTCTTTGTCAATTTAAATTTGATGTTCCTTTTTTTTCCCCCCATCTGTTTTTTCAAATACATGACCTAAGCTAATCATAGAGAACTTAAAATACTCTAAATACCTATAGTTAATATTACCTTTTGCTTCAAGCTCCATTTTCTTTTTCTTTGCCCATATGTTATGGTAGTTTTCGGCCATCATCTCAGCCATAGCCTTAGGAAAATGGAGAGCTTAGTGATATGTGTTACAGTGGTTAACACCCAAAAAGGACAATTTTCTGGTTGATATTAACAAGTTTTGTTATCTGTAAGGTTCAATACTATTACACTGCAATGGTTCACTGAAAACAAGAGTTTTTATTGAAAAATTATTATATAGAACTTGGGTAAGATGGGTATATGTATGGGAATTAGGAACGTGATGCTGAAGAGAAAACTGTTAATATGAAAAAGGAGGAACTATAAAGAGGAGTATAGTCTGGAAAAAGTATTGGGGTGTTAGACAGTGACTTGATTCTCAAAAGAATGCCAGTGAGAACCTGCTGAAGGCCCTGGTAAGGAAAAAAAAAGAACAGGAATTCAGAGAACTGAATCAATATTGTTCCGGCTGGCTGCGTCAGACTGACTATAAATCATGGATATAGCCTGGTCAAGGTGGATACTCATTTGTGTGAGCATACTGTTAAAAGCACCAACCATTTTGCCAGGGATTCCATAGATAACAGCCATAGTTTTTTATTCAGCATGAAATTCTCTCCTGTGTGCACAACAGATAAGTTCCTATAAAACAAACTCAGACTGCTAGACCCTAAACTAAGCAAAACACAGACAAGCTCTCCAGTCTCTAAGCAGTAGGAACTACTATTTCAACATGAAACAACTTTTTAAACCCATCTCTCCTGTCCTGTTTGTATACCTTCTAGCTGTACACAGTGGCGAAATTTTCTATAGATTTAACTTTTCACTTCTTTCATGGACCTACAAAAACATGCTTATCATCTTCAATAAGGGTTTTGAGTAACCAGTATTTCTGAATACCAGCTTCTTAATTTGGGAGAGCACTCATGAATTCAGATAACAACTTGAAAATTTTCATCCATATCTTCTTTGTCTATAGAACAATTTGTTTCATAAACTTTTCTCCAGTGGATACATTCTTACTCATATGTCTCTTGTATGGTAGATGCCTTCTATCATGCACACTCTAGTGCTGGTGTTTTGATAATCCAGACTACGACCTTGGAAGAATGTAGAGTAGTCTTGGTTTTCTTTCCTTGGAAGGCAGGGTGCTATGAAGTTGGTCTCAGAGCAAGACCTAGCTACTCATGAAGCCACAATATGACCAGGTGACCACTTAAGACCAAAATTACAAGTATTTCCCAGACTTACAATTTTAGACATGTGCATGATCCCTGCTAGCACAGTATATGCACAGGATGATGTAAACATTAAACGGCACTAATTCTTATGTACTAGTTAAAAAAAACCTAAACAACTAACTTTATTCAAAACAACTAACTTTTCCCAGCAGTTTAAAATACAGTTGAAGAATCTAGTCCTGAACTCCAATTTTCAAGATATTAAACATTAAAAAAAGTTCAAATTTACATGCAGTTCATTTTTAAAACTCAGATCTCATTAATACCTAACAAGTTTGGGTATCTCCTGAATTACAGTATCAGGAACAATTAATAACTGAAATTGCATTTTAATTAAATTTGCTTAGCTTTTAAATAACAGATTTTGAAGCTGGTTTCAAAGAAGACGTCTCTTCATAATTAAGGACAAATGAATCATAAAGCCAACCAGCTCTGCTTTATAGCTGAGGGCTACAAAGGAAATAAAATTAATGACAAATGTTAGCAGGTATATCATAAAAAAGTAAACAGGAGTAATAGAAGTTCTAATGACATTTCTTTTGTGGTTTGTGACAGGATAGTTACTTTTCCCTGGGTTTGGTTTACTGTATCATAACACTGTGATGATGTTCACATCAAGAGTTGTTTCATGCGCATTAAATAAAGTCTGCACAGTCTTTTGACTACACAGTCTGAGTCTACACAAATGTTAAACAATGCAATTATAATGAAGCTGTTCCATCAGTTTAAGAGTGTAATGACAGAAGAAGTGTTATTCAGGTGTTAATTTTGTTAACTCTTTGGAATGATCAGCAATCTACTGAATGTTTTATATCAAGTATGATAGTTAACTGGCAGCAAATTCTTATTATTGTAAAGCTAGCCAGCAACTTACAATGGCTAGAAATATAAAACTGGAAACTACAAGATAAAGAATCAAGGAGGGGAAAACCAGTGTGAAGAATTTGATCAGAGGCACAGTACAGTATATACTGTAGTTAGCCAATTACTTTACCACTGCTGTTTGTTTCCCTGCACTATGACCGAGCTCAGTATGGGCAAACTTAACCCTGTGTTTCAGGACTTTTTGACAGCAGCTTTGAACACCATGTTGTCATCACTAGGCTGGTACAAACACTCATGCTAACTAATTTAAATCTATCTGGTGTATGTCTACATAATATTGTAACCATACTCACAGTAAATTAGTAGACTGTAAAAGCTAGCACCATACTAAATCAAACACCATGAAAAATACCTTAACTTTCTAAAGACACATCATTCATTTATCAACTAACAACAATCTACTGATAGATCTATCAAAATCCTACCTTCAACTTCCTCATTCTCTATTCTCATAATATTTGTTGTAAAAATGGCTCCTGATTCTTATTACTTCAATTTAGAAAAAAGAGCAATGACCAAATGTTTTGGGAAAATGGTGAAGAAATGAATGATAAACAGAAAAAAGCTGATGCTGCAAGATTCTCTTCAAAACGATAGATGTTCACAAAGCGAGCTGGGAAAATCAATCCAGAGTAAAACAAACTTTGAAGCTTTTCAACATGAACCATGTTTTTTAAAGCAACATAGGATCAAAGAGCAATGATTTAAAAGACCAAAAAAACAACCAACAAACCAAAATCAAAGCATATCAAAGAAAGCAACATAAGGAACAAAATTTGTTTAAAATAAACTATCAGAAAAGAAAAAAACAAATTGTAAAAAAAAAGGCAGGCATATTAAGTGTTTCTGACTTACATGTAAGTCTCTGGAGAGGGTGACATTGCTCATGTCAATTGCTCGAGGAGTGTAACCATGGGCTGTATCTACAGAGATCTGAATGACAAATGTGTAAAACAGTGGAGTTATACAAGCATTTGATATGAAGCTAACATTAACAAGATACTGAAAGCAACGGAAAGAACTTAAGGAAAAAGCCACTTGTATATCTCTAGAGAGCAAAAGGATCCTATGTAGTTCAAGAAAAAATACATCAAGGGTGGTAAACTTAAGTGAGATTTAGGCAAGGGTCTACATATTTTGTTCCCAAAGACAGACAGCCATCAGACACAAATCCCCCTCATTCAAATGCAAATTTCACTTGTACTCGTTTAAAATTTGAACTCACTGTGGATAATGCCGTACTAAAGTTATCATTAAATCTCTTCGTTTTCTAGGTTGGTTTGTTTTTTTTTTCTTCATCAGGTGAAATCTCAGACAATCTATCTTAAGGTGAATTCAGGCAAAAATCAAACTTTGAATTTTGCCTTTCAACTTTATTTCTACATGTAGGAATACAATCTACTAAATACATATCTTTTTTCTTCCTTTCCTCCTCCCCACTCAGAAAATATTACCATTTCATCATTCTTTCTTTCTACTGCCTAAATTTATCACAGGTTTGTTTGTTACATTGACACAAATGTTCCAAGAAGGATAAACAAAGACAGAGATTCCCTGAATGGCAGGCCACTGACACAAGAAATGCAGCTAGAAAAGGGGCATTGCTGTGCTTTCCTCTATGTATTCTGCTGTAACAGATAAATTCTTGTCCCCCACTGGTACATCTTCCTTTAGAAACAACAGTGTCCAGAATTTTGTTCCAATGTCTGATACTATTTTCATATGCATGTATATGAGCATGTACAAGTTCTAGAAGTTCAAAGGACTCCTTTCAAAAGGTAGATATTTTAAATAGAGAATAATACAAAGGACATAAAAGCAGCACACAGTAAATAAATATTGTATTGTTTTCTGAAGCAAACATTGTTACATTAACATGAAGATACCAGTTAAAGATAATTAAAATTCTCAGCTGAACACAGGAAAATGCTATTTTGTGTGTGTGTGTCACGACAGCACAACAGATCTTAAACACAGGTTGAGTGTACTCTGAAATATTATAGTCTTCAGAAATTCTCCTAGAAAAGTTATATAATTTCATTATAGTAAGGGAAGACTAACTTAGCTACAAAAGCTGTTTTCATATGTTGATATAGTTTGACTCTCAACTGTAAAGCTATTCATTCTAATGAGCTCTTCATGCTTCAAGTATATACAAATATCTCTGTCAGTATATTCTTTGGGGCAGGTATTATAAACACCCAAAAGTCAGGAAATTTGGAATTTAAGATTTTCAGAAGGTAATTATATTGTGCAAACTATATTTAGCCCAAGTGCTAAATCAAATCACTTGATATACACTTTCTAGTGTCTATAGAGAATGGAGAGGCAGGTTCAACCACTCATTTTTCATAGGGATATCACCACTCACACACGTAAATTGTGCAGAGCTGAGTGGACAAAAGAGGGAAAGATTTTTTTTTCCCCCTCACTTTATTTCCGCCATTAGTTTGTCTCCATGTGTGTCTGTGTGAATGAAAGAGATTTTCTCCTCTCTTCAGTTTAATTACAAAGTATATGGAGCAATATGAGAATATAGTGCCAGTGTTTTTCCATTTTATCCTTGCAGCATTTTGATTTAAGAAGGCTATTCTAAAGGAAAAATATATATAGCCTTAACATTTTCAGGATTTTGGCTGTCTATATATGTAAACTTTATGCTGCACTAACATTGATGTTTGTATTAATTTTCCTTAAAAAAAGAAATAAAAATAATTTATATATGTACTTTTATTTCTTTGCAAGCTTAAAGGCATCCATAGCCACCAAATTAAAAAAGCTAGCAGATTAGAATCATGTTAATACTCACTATTAATGTGTAATCACCTACTGATGAGTAAACAATTCACCCAAATAAAGGAGTTAACTTTAAATCAAGTGTACAAATATATTCCTACTTCAGTTTTGTTCATTTTTTTTGAAAATGTTTATTAACATATTACTTTGGAACAGGGAAAGAAAGTTCCAGTTTCAGTCAACAGAAATTCAAACCAATCTTCAGAATTGTATAACGGCTTGTGAAAAATGCTTTCACCTATTTTTCTGCTACAGGATTATTTTATCATTTGTAAAATCAAAAATTGGAGAGCAGATTTTGTATGCCTTTTTTTAAAACAAGCTTTTAGTAAAATGGCTCACTTGACTGGTTTGAGATATGCGACGTGTCCGATTATACAGTGCCATGGAATCTCCCTCCCGTGTTCTTTCAATTCGCCATCCCCACGCCAGCATAGTTTTTAGTGATTCTTTGATTGGCCATCGATAAATTTCTTTCTCCTAGAAGAATGCACATGCAATAATTGCCTTGTTTATTATGTAGCTGTACAGAGCAAAAAATAACCATTGGGCATTTGCTTGGTTATACTGAGATGCAAAGAAATTGACTGAAATCAGCCCTTCTGGTCCAGGAATATTTCAAAGTAAATAAATCATATAAGATATTAAAAGGTTTATTTATCATTTCAGAGGTGGTCAGAAGAACTCTGGCCCTGTAGGAAGCTGATGATCAGAGGGATAACCATGTTAATGGCCATGCTCAGGTATGAACTCAAAGGTGCAACAGTAATTATCAGGAATAATGCAGTGTTTTGTCAGCTATATAAAACAAAAAAACCCACAATCATAGAATCATAAAGAAGTCTGTGTTGGAATGGACCTCTGAACATCATCTTGCTCAACCTTTTTAGGTCAGATAGGCTAACCTAATAGGGCTACCAACTGTTATCAAGATTAGGTCATCTACAGCTTGCAATGTCATGCCTTGAATATTTGCAGTGCAGGTGATTACACCACTTCTCTGGACAACATATTCCAATGTTTAAGTTGTCAAGACAAGAAGGATTTCTATAAAGCATTTCTGCTGAATCAGCTTGCACCCATTGCCTCTTGTCCTGTCCATCTTTTCTATAACTAGCATTTAGGTACTGCGAAAATGAGATTATATCCCTGTCAGTTTTCTCTTCTTTAAACTGAACAAACCCAATTCCTTCAGCCTTGCTTCATTTATCAAGTTCTACAACCCTCTAATCATCGTGGTGGCCTTCCGCTGCAGGCCAGGCAAA